GCCGCGAAGATGATCAGAGGGGAGGAACACCTCTCCTATGATGAAAGATTGAGAGAATTGGGCTTGTGCAGCCTGGAGAAGAGAAGGTCTCCCCAGAGCCTTCTTGCAGCCTTCCAGTACCTGAAGGGACCTACAGGGAAGCTGGGGGGTGACTTTTTACAAGAGCATGTAGTGACAGGACAAGGGGTAATGGGTTTAAATTGAAAGCGGGGAGGTTTAGATTAGATATGAGGAAGAAGTTCTTCCTCGAGAGGGTGATGAAGGACTGGAACAGGCTGCCCAGAGATGTTGTGGATGCCCCATCCCTGGCTGTCTTCAAGGCCAGGCTGGATGAGGCTTTCAGCAACCTGGTCTAGTGGGAGGGCGTCTCTGCCTATGGCAGGGGGTTGGAACTAGATGATTTTTTAAGGTCCCTTCCAACCGTCGGTCCCTTAAACCGACTGTTTAAAATACCGAATATCTTTATGTGCAGGTTTTGTACTAAATGACCAAACACTTCAGCAGGTCTTACATTAACTACAGCTGCATGAATTCATGAAGAAACACAGAGCTATCAAATCAGAACATAAACACTACCTAGAGGGTTGGTCAGACAGAGTAGCCTTAGAAAAAGAAACATCAGTCTGTTTAGTATACGTCAGAGACCAAGCAGAATCTAAAGGTGCAGTTTGGCAGCTATTTTAAGTAAATCTAAGGCCCATGCTGCTGTTAAGAAGACAGCTCTCATTCTCAGACCCTCACAGCCAAAATTGTGTGTCACAATGGATGCTGTGAAAACAGGACTTAAAGTAAAGCTTAGAAAAACCCAGAGCAACTTTTAGTTCCACCTTATTAGCTAGCTGCACACATAATAGTGCCAGTGTAAGGGAAAAAAATTGTGTAATGCATCATCATCCTTCTAGGCATAGTCTGCATGTGCATCAACTTAAAGCAATCTCAACCTACAGTCTGATTTTTAGCTCTTTCAAAAGTCTTGAGCTGCAGCCAAGAAAGGATAAGAAGATATTGGCAGATAAATCCAAGTAGTATAAGTAACTGGGCAGAGGGTGCACTTAGTATTTGTATATACAGTGTTCTTGATTTCCATAACACCCTTCGGTCTTCCAGAGCCACACAGCCAGCTACAGCTCAGGAAACACGAGCTGTCTCTCAGAACCTTCTCTCAATACTTTGGTCATTCTGACTTCAACGCAGTGATCTCTCTGGTTTTGTATTTGCATGGTTTTCTGCACACAGCACATGTTGCAGCCTTCATTGCAGCTGAATTCCTCCCAAAGACTGCCTTTTACATGAGTCCCAGCACCTGCTGCTGCATCAGACTTCACCTCTATGCTTTCTGTGCTAGGCAACTCCAAGTCCAGAAGACATGACTAGACCAATTCATTCAGATGCATCTGCATGACATCTAGTCAGGAGGTACTTGTTCCAGAAGAAAAACCAAACCCACAATAGAAGTCTGCAGCAGTGTTGTCTGTTGCCCCCAGCCCCCACTCTCCAGTTAGCTTTTATTCTGGAAAGGAGCACTTAGAACGGGATAACAGTTCATGCTGCAAAGTTTGGGAGCACTGTGCTCCACGTGCCATTGACTAGCCAAGCAATTTCCAGTTTAGGGCTGCTAAAACTTCACCTGCCTCCAATAGCTGCAAAAGCATGAAGACAAGGGCTGTCACAGTATCAGGCAAAGTATTTTATTCAGAACCTTAGAGCAGGGCCTTTTTATCTGACTTCATTATCAATATATTGCCTACATGAAAAAATACCTTTGTTTTTGCTTCTACCAGCCCTCTTTTTTGACTCTACTGCAAGAGGAATTAGGTGTCTACGCACAGCTTAGCCCAGCCAAAACCAGGACTACTTAGCTTCCCCGAAATGGGATCACTGTTTGTGATTTGCATTGCAACAAGTATAAAAACATCCTCTCTGGGACAAGGAAAAACCTTCATATTCCCCTAACATTGCTCTTCACACATCAGGGCACAATGCTATCTCAAAAAACACCTCAAGTTATTTCCTATCTCCTTTTTTCCTTTTATGGAAGTACGTCAGAAAGTTTCCACCAAACCACTTCATCCTTCAATAATCTGTACAGACTAATAAAAACCTATCTATAAGACTGTCCTCAAATACATGGGTTATAGCATTAATAAGAGATTTTCCCATTACAGAAAAATGAAAAAATATGATCTATTGCACTTGAAAATTCTGTAATAATCCAGCTCAATCTGTGGAAATAAAAGCGAAGAAACCAAACTGATTCATACATAGTAGCTTGTTTTGAATGAATACAAAATACAGGTTTTGACCAAAACGGAACTTTCAAATCTAGAGAGAAATAAAATATCCTTTCATTCAACAAGTCACAACATTTGTTAACATTTCAAGAACTGTCATCCTTAGTCAAAATGACCTTTTATATTGTAAAGTTTTAAATATTCAAAACTGTCTAGTCAATTTTACAGGCTCCATGATAAAGTAGGTGAAAAGGGTCAGCAAAAAAACCACCTTCAAAAACAGGACTAGAGTTCAAAGCTTCTATTACAGCCTTACATAATCCTTGTTAGTAAATTTACTAAGACAAGGTAAAGTCATTGACTGTGACATACTATCTGAAGAACTTCACCTTAAATGCAAGCTGTGGTGAAAAATAAAAAACAGCTAAAAGAATTCAAGCTCTTCCAGGTAAACTGAGGACATCAAGAAGCACGTATCAAGTAAGTTGAAAGATACAGAAAAAATTTTCCCCCTGCCTTCTGCAGTTGTTAGCTATCAAAATCCAAGAGAATATTACAAGATGTTAACTTGCACAGGGAGTAAACACATGATTCTTCAAGGATACTTTAGAAGTCAGGTTTTTTTAAGCATTTCACTCCAAGGCATGCAGGGACTTCAGCAAGGGTCAGTTTCAAGAGATGATAAAGAGTCAATGACTGAAGTGGGACAGAAGCATTGTGGATTCATTCCCTTATTAAAGCACAATATGGAAAATCATTAAAAAATGTTGCAAGTACCACTGTTAGGACTATTAATTTTACTAAAACCTGTAACCAGTACATTCATGACCAAACATCAGGATTTCTGGGAGACTCAGGGCTGGATATAGACAGCTCTTACAAAGAAACAGGAAGGCTGAACAGTGCCAAGTATATGAGAAGTTTTAAGGCGTTAGGGGAAATATAACTGAATTTCTCATATATCACATTAAAGTAAGCATTGTTCATCTGAACAAAGGTGTTGAGTATTCCAGACCTTACTGATTACCAGCCAAATATCCCATCAAGCAGAACTTACACCTACAAAGACTAAAAAACAAAGGCAAGTCCCCAAAACAATCCTTTTTACAGTGCAATAGTTTCACCAACAATGGGTTTGACAGAATGAAAATGACAACATCAATGCTACTGAAAAAGCATGCAGTAACAAGTTACCTCAGCAACACTATACATCTCTTAACTACAACATATATCAACAGATATATTCTGAGTTAATTCAAAGCTTGGTAGTCAACCCACTTTCAGTTTTTTGATAATAAGAATGCTAAAGAGTTGATGTTTAGAAGTAAGCCGACTCTTGTTATAGGGCTGTTAAAGTAGGACACTATTGTTCTTGCCTATGAAATCAGAGCTGCTAACCTCATTTAACCACACCCATTAATTTCATATGGATTAAAAGAATCAAATACATTGTGAAATTTAAGGACAGTACAAGCCCCTTAAAGCTTTTTTTTTCTGCAAAAATTTATTTTATTGAAAAGGCTATCTGCAACGTGCCTCTTTTGTTAGCACTTTATAGTTTAAAGGCAAAGATACAAAAAGCATACTCAGAGTAACACTGATCTGACCAGAAAGGCCTGTGTGATCTCATGCTCATCATCAAGTCCCCAGCATCTGCTGACAGGATAAAACAGTTCCTATCTCACAGTAAAATGGTGAGATGAGGTTTCTAAAATAGGCAGGTATTCAGACTCTGCAGCTATAAATATCAAAGAGCTACAGAAACAGAAAACTGAAGACTCATTTCTTAAAGGAAATGAGATTTCCAAAGGCACCTCAAGCACACCACTACCTTGGAGAATTTCACCTATACATTTTTTTTTCCTCTCCATTATTCAAGAAAGTTCACCCTTCTGGATGATGCTTACCTTCAAATTCCCCTTCTTGAATGTGAAATGTGTATCACGCAAGAAATGTAGCCCTTTTGGTTATTCAGGCATGTAATATTCAAAATCATTTGAAATACAGGCCAAAAAGGATCACAATTACCTTAGCATGCTTTAATTCCAGTTCTGCTAGTTCCACCAGATTTTTTCTGAATGCTGCAACTCTTCTTGTCTTAAAGTCTATCAGTTCTATAGAAAATAAAAATGGATTCATTAACAGTATTAATGCTAGTGCTCTCAACAGACTTTCCTTCAGGATGACAGAGGTAAAAGGTAAGAGAAGGCAACAGAAAAAAAAAACCCTCAAGTTTAACCTTAGCACATTCTGGGCTTAAAGATACTGCTACACCATTTGGTGAAAGCAAACCATCATTCCAGTTCCTCATCTCTAGCTAACCTTTTGTGGACACAAAGTTCTTTCAAAAGCAGTGTGGATGCTTTTAAACATTTAATTCTCTTATTCCATGTGCACTGTTCTCTAAAGGCTGATATATAAAAGTATCTAGGAATCAAACAGATTTACAGGTTCAAACGACTCTTAAATGATAAAAAGAGAAAAGCACGGTGTTTAAACCCTGAACAGATCTGCCCCAAAAAATGAGTCAGATGACTACTAACTCACAACAATCTTAGCCTAAAAGAAAAAAAAAGGACAGTAAGTTTCCAGGAAAAAGGTAACATGTAAATAAGGTTTCTTTTATGTAGAGCTACTGTAACACCGCAACTTCCGTGAAATACCATTTCATGATTTCTCCCTTTTCTAACGTAGTATCATCTCTGGAACAGACTGTTGCCGTCACAGCTGAATGCGTAAAACCAGAAGGGTAATTTCAACAATAGTTCAGAAGATTAGGTTTGCCTTTATGCCAGAATTATAATTTTGTATCTTACCCTATTCATATAAAGAAGTGCTCAACAAATAATTCCACTTAGAGTTTGCTCTGCCTAAGGGAGCGATGAAAAACCAAAGGAAAGTATCATTTGAACTTTCTAAAATAAGTAAATACTGATTAAAAGATAATAGTTCATCTTAGGAAACAGAACAAGAAATCTATTCTCATTAATAATATCATAGAGTCTGTTAATTTTCATAGTAGTAACATAGATCACCCAAATACCTTGTTTTGCTGATTCAGATATTTTCTCAAATTTCTGACAGCATATTTGCTGAGTAGTTTCAGCTTGCAGCACATCTTTATTTTTTGCTCTTGCTTTATCCAATGCCTTATTAGCATTTTCATAATCCACTAGTGACCTAGATCTTCTATATAGGAGATCCTATAAAAACCATTAAAAATGTATAGAATTTATAAGAATCTACCCAACGATTTTAGTATATACCAAATAATAAAAACAAATTCAAATTAATTTTAGTCCTTCTTGCTATATTTCAGTTCTAAATTATATGCATTCACTTTACTTCATCCTGCAAGTCACAGGAATGTTCATACTGAATCAGACACAATATCATTTGGGCTGCATCTTGTCTGATAGAGGCTAGCAACAGACAGCTTCAATGATAGTCCCAAAAGCCTATACAGGGGCAATCATGGGAATTTCACAGCTTCTTAGATTAGAAACAAACTGTATTTAGATTATGTATTTGAAATACACACAAGGGCCAAGAAAAAGCAATAGCATTTTTTGTGCTACAGTTACTGATGTGATCTTCTAACTACAGACATTTTCCATCAAATGCTTTCTCATTCCGTCATGTTATTTAATGATCTTACATCAAAAACCACTAAGAATGAAATTTTCTGTAGGTACAGAATACCAAGTGTGGCCCATATGTTTTTGTATCAGGACTTGCAGATCATCTAGAGTATCCATTTTGAGTACTAAAAAAAAAAGTAGAATTGCTTGCAGTCTATAAGCAGCAAACACACTGCAAACACATTCACCAACAGCTCTTCCACTGTTTAATTATCAAGGCCAAATCATACAGTGTAAGTGGATTACACAGTTCCAAAGAGTCAGTCCCACAGTCGGCAACTGCACTGTTACTCCTCATATACAACAGAGCTCCATTTTTCTACAGCTGAAGGAGAAACTGCAGACTGGAAGCAGCAGCACATTAACCTATTTACTGTTTATTTCTCAAGATGATCCTTTACGTCTCTCACTTTTTTTTTTTCTCAAGAAACACTATTTCACAGAACAAAAACCACATGAATTCACCTTAGCAGCTTGAGATTCTCTTAAATAATATTTCAGAAGATCAGAAAGTTTAAGATCTTCATCAGCAGATACCCGGGACTCTATTTTCTGGAAAAACGTAAGTAAAAGCATCAATTTTAAAAACTGTCATCTTCAAAAACTAAGATCATACATTTTCCACACAATACTTAAAAGATGCATTTTAAGAAGCAGTAGCAAGATTTTGTGTTAAAATGTAAGCGATAACCTACTGTGTGAGTAGTAGTTGACAACTAGCTTTCTATTTTAAACAATGATTTCTTCCCAGTTTTAATTATATACATCATACACTAGAAATACAGCTGTCCTAGTCCCGGGCAGCGATGATCTGCTCTCCTACAACAGTCCATATTTTGTTTCACTCCATAATACATCAAACTGAGTGTTGATGTCCCCCCGGTACCAGTGGCTGCGAGCCGGCAGGGTCAGGGAGTTGCAGGTGGGCGCGACCCGGAAAGTGTGTGAGGGTCGGCGGGGGGTGGTTCTGGCCAGGAGCGCAGCACGGTTGTTCTCGGACCCCGTGGTGGGTGCCTAGCGCAGGAGGAGCATCTTTTGTCAAGCAGATAGTCGCGGTATGAAAGTTTTTTTTTCCTCTCCCTGCTCTCGGCTCCCAGGCTGATTGAGGGTTTTTTTTCTCCCTCCGTTTTTGGGGTGTTTGGTTTTTTGTTTGGGGTTTTTTTTGGTGTGTTTTTGTTTGTGGGTTTTTTTGTGTTTGTGGTGGGTTTTTTTCTTCTTCTTTTCTTTTTTCTTTGTCGTGGTTTTTGTATTTATTTTCCTGCCTTGCCAGGAACCTGTCTGTCCAGAGGTGGCGAGATCCTGTATAATTTGCTCTGTTCTTTTAATTACTTATTA